GATTCAGCTGCTGGACTTCAAAATCATTGAACTTGCTTCCTCTTTTTGGGAGTCTTTCAAGCCCAATGCAGAAGTTATTCCTAGATTTCCCAAATCATATGCTTTCTGTAACATCTAAGTTAGGTAGGTCCTTTTTTGTAGAGGGCAAATGGGTTGAATGCCATTTTATAAGTAGGGGTTTGGTTTAATTGTCTGTGTCTCTATCTGAAGCAATAAGCAGTTTACTCTTTCCTATGGATAAGTGGGTGATATCTCACAGAGAGATAGAAATAGAAAGAGCTATTGAGGATGTGCATGGGTGAGAGACCTCTGCTCTATGGACTGGCTGCTCATGATGAAGCAGGGGAGTACTTAGATTTGCCAGCTACTCAGTTTAGAGTCACTAGAGAGTTCCTGCTGCATACCGTGTGCTGAAGATTGCACTGTCAGCGGCACTCTGAAATGTCACTGAGAGTTAGGTTTTGTCTCTTGCTAACTTCTCAGTATTTTCTTGTGACAATGCAGAAGAGCACAAATGTGATGGTCTTATTCAAGCCACAAGCAAACACAAGATACCAACTATTCTATAAAGAAATTCTTTGCCCTTACGCTTTAGGAATATGCAGGTACAGTAAACGCTACTATTTATCCTTAAATAACGGTTATGTTGTGGGAAATCTCCTTCCGTCAGTGGCCTGTCTGCATGGGAAGAGAGAATAGAATGTATTCTAAATATCAGTTAAAATAGTGTACAGAGTTAAAAATGTCAAGAATAGATTCAAATGGGTGTTACAGATTGCACGTGGAGACTTGTTCAGGTTCAGGCAAATATAGCTTAGATCCCACAGCTGACATCATTCAGGAAGTCAGACCACAGGTAAAATGGAACCAAGTAGGATGATGTCTGGTTTCAACTACAGTTCAAGATTATTCCACTGCTGGGTTGGGTTTTTTTTTTCCTTGTTGTTTTTTTTTTTTTTTAAATCTTGTAAAAGCAAGGTCAGTATCTAACAATAGAAGACGTAGTTCTGTATTTCATTGGGTTTGGCTCGGACTCACTGATGTTCTTTCTCATTTGGGAGCGAAGAAGGGGAACAGTATTATGACTTAATGTACTCAGATTTGAGAACTGAGTTGTGAAAAACTGAGTCAGAAGAAATTAACCACTTGGCTGAGACATCATCTAAACAATGACAGGTGATTCACAATAGATTGAAATGTCAAACCAAGTCTTTATTTATGTACACTGTACATCTAAAACCAGCAGTAGGTGCATGGGTGAGAGCTCACCTGGGGAGCTATACCTCCATTGCCAGTGGTCTGTAGCTGTGGCTCAAGGTAATGCACTTAACTGCTATTTTTCGTGCTTCAAAGTTGTCTCTTCCCATTGAACCTTGCTGGAGATCTGGAGAACATCTTGTGAAGTCTGAAAATAATGACAAGTTTGGGCAGAGATCCTCTCAGGGAAATACTTTCTTGGCCACTTAAAAGGCTGGTGGCCAAGTATCTCCATACAGTCTCTCTAATTTATTGTTCCGTTTGTGAGTGGATCTCTGCTGGATGAAAGCGGCTAGTCCTCAGATGCTTATAAGCACTCTTTTCCTTGTGGTACATGCTTTCTGCTTGGCTAGGGACTCACTTATGACTGGTCCGGCTTCATCCTGGGCCTCTTGAAAGTCCCTATCTCATGCCAAAAGTCACAGCATTCTCTTAGGAAAGAAGTAAGCAGCTGTGACCCTAAAGTAGTACCCCGTGCTGGATTTTTGTGTTTCTAATGCTGAGTACCTCAAAGCTCGGTTCTAACTCTGAACTTGACGGCCCATTCAAAACCCTTTGTTTCAAAGTGTCTCATCATCTTAATACTGGCACTTTCAAGACCAAAGTTTTACAGCTTTTAGCCCTTCGCTAGTAATGAGTTTTACACCTTAATAAAAGCTCCAGCAAAGTAGGATCTATCTGCAATTTCTTTCAAGTCACTGAAGAGTCGCTGATTTCATTCAGGCATTGTCAGCAGTACAAAAGCAGCTTCTCAACAGTCTTCTATAAATGAACTGTTGCCTTAAGAAACAGCTTCCTATTACTTGTTCTTATATAGTTACTTTTTCCATTCGTATCACATAGTTGGAGTTCAACTGAAATCTTGTTCACTCTGTTATAAAAAACATTCAGTACCATTTCTATTGCCTAGACAGAAACTAGCAGTGGGGAGGTTTCGCAGAACCTCCCCGAAAATGCATGATCTTTGCAGAACGGACTGCTTGTAAAAAGCCTTCCAAATCCTCCTGTTGTTCATACCACAGAGGCCAGGACTGTGAATGATCTGCCAATAAATAAAAATGACATGTCAGTCACACTTGCTTTTCTCCACCTTCTTAGAGGGGTATTTCAGCGTTCAGCACATAGCTGAACTCTCTGAAAAGCATTCCAGATGATCACTCATTGTGTCAAATTATGCTGCATTATGTAGATAGGTGGCTATTTGCTGGTATGCAGCTGTAATTCGAGTTACATATGTGGGCTTATTAGGCATGGCTTCAGACAACGGCAGGAAAAGAGGGAAGTATTCCATATTTAACAGCCAAAGCAGTATGAAAATAATAGTTAAGAAGTGCCAGCTGGGGACGGGGCCACTCGCCGCACTGCCATAGGGCTGGGGAGGGGAGGACGTGGTGCGGTGCTGTCCCGCCGGCAGGATGCTTTATGCAAGATCTTGCCTTCTGCTAGCTCCGCTACTTGAGCACGTCTGCTGGTTCACACGGGCACTGAGCTCTTACATGACTGATGGGACAAATAACTTCACGACCATTTTGAGAAAGCAGTGCTGACAACCAAAAGATTCAGGAGACTTTAATTCTTCTAAGAGGGGAGGGAGAGGTAAGCGTACCTCTGGTTCGAATAGGTGACTGTAACCACAGCTATCTGGAAACCTGTTTTTATGAAGAAAATGAAACGCTGTCATTGCGATGTAAAAATGTTCCTTTCAAAAAAAGTCAGCGGCCTGTAAATGGAGAGGAAGTCAGCCCCATGAGCAACAAATCAAATCGCATGGTTTTTATTCTGCCAACTGTTAATGTCATGAAATAACAAGGAAAAATGCTGTAAACAGTGCTGTATTGAAACACTGAATCACCGAATCTAACTTTTCTTTTAATTGGACTGTCTGGAGGATGAGCCTTTGCAGTGTCTAGAAGTACCCATGAAAACTCAAAAGGGAGAAAAGGAATATATTAAAGCGGCTAATTTGTAGCATGATGCCAGTCTGCCCTTTCCATTCTCCCTATCAACAGAAATCATAACAGGCTAATTCCTCGCTGTAAAATGTTCTTTGTTATTTGTACATCTGAAACTAATGGCATGCTGCACTGAGTGGGAAACGGGGAGAGGGGCTGGTGCTATCAGAGAAAATAATCATCTCATTCCCTTTGAGCAGCACTGAAAGTTGTTCTGCGAAAATGCTCACCCTCACCAAAGGGATGGGAAAAGCTCTCTGCTGCCACATAAAAAGCAGAGGAATTCGCCTTTTTGATTTAATATTTTAAATTATATTCTTTAGAGTTTTAGTAACAAAATTTGGTGAGAAAGAGGAGCTCTAAATTTCAGAATCTTCTATTATCTTTATTTACCCATGTTCGTAGCAAAAATGCAGGAGCTTTATTAGGGGGCGACCCCCGGGCAATGGAGTTGGTGCTCACGCCTGCGGGCTCCAGGCAGTCGCTGCTGGCCGAGGGCTGGAGAGTCCTGCGAGCGCTTCCCCTAACTCCCGCTCGGGCTGTAGGCTGCGTTGTTGACTGCACTGAGAGGTGTTCAGCTATCTGTGTCCTTCAACCCACGTCCTGCAGCCCGGCTGATGAAGGAGGACCGTTAAAGGTGCGTGAAGTCAGTGTGTCCTTGCAGCAGCTCTGCTCCTGGCTGGAAGGTGTTTGCGTTGTGAGGCCATAGGCAACAACAGCGGTGCACTAATTACAAGTAAAGGCACGACGAAGGGATGTTTGGAGGTGTTCTGTTGCTCCTGTGTTGGCTGCTACAAAATTTAGAAGTATTTCAAGTTTTGAGTTAAAGCAAAAAAAATTTAAAAAAAAAAAGTAACAATGCAATCCTTCCACAACAAAAATATAACCTGAACCCCGGCAGCACACAGCTCTGCTGTCCCCAAATACTGAGGTCAAAGAAATCTGCAGGAAGTGCCTTTAAGAATCTGTGTTATAGCTTCAGTTTAAATTTATATTCATTACAATTTTTCTCTCTTGTGCTAGGCGCAATTTAGCCTAGCATTGTGAATGTCATTAGCTGCTGGCTTTAACTGTCAGGATTTGTACAAAAATGTTGCTATTTGACTAATTAAAGTCTGGCCAAGTGCACAACATCAGGCCTTGGGCTCTTCTGCTAATTGCAATGAGCTTTCTACCTCTTAATTTATTGGGATAAATATTATCAAAAGGCTTTTGATAATTAACAACTATTCATGAATTGCGCCTATCCCCTGTCGCCATCCGCTCAGACTGCATGCTTCCAGACCGGGAGGCTGAAGCGTTATCCCCTATAACAGCATATTAACATGCCAAGCAGGGCATCTGAAAGAGGAAAAAATGAAGCTGAGAATTTAGACTCTCTAGAAGTAAGGCAGAACCGTGGTGTGGTCAGAGCACCAGGCTGGCACTTGGTGGGAGCGTGTTCGGATCTCGGCTCTCCAACCGTCTCCTTAGGCGATCTCGTACAGATCACTTCAGTTCTACGTGAGAAAAATCGAGGTAATTTTACTTCTTTCTTTGTTCAGTGGTATGTAACCCTGGGCTTAAGGGCAGTGTGTTGTTTCTGAGACCTTTGAGCATAGCTCAGAGGTGACAGGAAAGAAAAGCTTAAACTGAGCCCAAGAGGGAGGACAAAGTACGACGCTGCGGTTGTAATGTATGGTTGAAGACTGCTGCTCTCGACTGTGAGTCCTGTATATTTGTTGTACTGTGCAATGAGGCTAAAATCTTCTGGAGACCGCACTGTAATGCAGGTAGTAATCCTGTACCGGGATGTCTGCACCCCTGTTCTGCGAGCACGATGTTCTGCGTACGCAGGCGTTTGGTAAGAAATGCACTTCCAGTAGTGTAGAGATGGACTGAGATTTCCTGGTGCCAGAGATGCTGCGTAAGACTTCTCTAACTTTTTAAACTGCATTTTTCCCCTTTTCTAGAGCTTACTCGATTTTTCAGCTGCATCATGGCATTAAAATTGGCTTTGGAGTTAATTTTAAATAGATTAAATTCTTTACTATTAGTAAATGCACATAATCTAGCGTAGCAATTTTCTTTGGTTTTGCATCTTAAATACCTTCACATAGATAAGGCAATAGTTCATACTTTTGTTTAAGAAAACAAGCTCCGTGATGATGTATGACGAATCTTTTCTCGCCTGGTTCCTTCTGATGTGTGTGCTTTTTCTTCTTTCTAGCAGCAGGAGCACTGAAGACTTCCTTGACTGATGGGTTCATTCAGGACATCTCGGAGGTGGGTAGGGAAGATAACTATTGACTTAACAGATGATGGTGGTTGATGTGAATCAAAAAGATGAATGCATAGCTAAAAATGACATCTCAGATCTTGAAACATGGGGTTTTCTGGGCTGTAAATAGTCTTTATTTAATACAAAAAAAGTGAAGCTGAACCTTAGTAATAATTCTTTCTTCAGCAGCAATCAGTCTGTGCTGGGATATTTTTATAATCCTAGCTATTGATCTTCTGAAGAGCTGTTGTGTTTGAAATAATTATTTCAAAGAAAGATTGAAGAAAAAGCAAGATCATCTTTGCACAAGAGTTTTTTTTCATCACTTAAGTATATTCATTGTAGAAATATCTCCCTCAAAAGAGGTGAAGATCATTCCCAGCATCCAGGGCTGCTTTTTTTTCTGCTCCATCTGCCAGAAGTTTTGCAGCTGGCACAATTCATTAATTCTGTTCAATCTGTGTTCTTTTAAACCAGCAATGAATTTGATAATCAGCGTGCTGGGTTTTGAACATACGGTTTTCTTTTTACTCTGAGCTACTCATTGAGTATTAGCATGCAACACAACAGCTTTTTCCAGTGCTTTCTCCGGAGAGGCAGAGTGGAAACAGCGGCATATGGATGGTGTGGTGGGATCTGCATCTCCTTGGTAGGAAACTGGTTAGCGCTGGTGGAGCTCATTGGAATCTGGTACCGTGTTTAGCTGCTATTACTGACCATCAGCACAGAATCTCTACTTGTCCTCCAAGCTGCAAGTCCACCAGGTCAGTCAGCATGAGCAGCGATGGTCTGTTTTTGCAGACTCTTGAGTCATGAGAAGCCCTTTGGCATCCAGAAAGCCGATGTTGGGAGGTGCTGGCCCTAAGTGGTGATACAAGGAGATGGTGCTCTGCTTGAGAGACTTGTTGAGCAATGAATTTGAGTGACCCAGCTCTGTTCCCGGCTGATGGGTTTGGCTTTTGTTGATCAAATAGCACTAGCAAGGGACCAGTCCTATCACCTTCCTGAAAGGAAAATCCTGCACTTGCCAAGACGGCCCGGGGCATCACAGCAGGCTGGGAAAGAGATTGAGATGAGGGAAGAATTTGTAACAGGACAACTAGGAAGCCCAAAGAACACAGACGGGGGTGCAGGGATGAGGAAGGGATACAGGAGCAGTGGGAATGGGCAGGAATAGGGAAAACTGAGAAGTCCAAGGAGAGAAAAGTGCATGCTGGGGAGAAGTCTATATAAACTTGCATAGATGCAAGTGTGGATAGATATAAACAGGGAAATACAGGCATTTGTGACCATCTCCATAACACATTATATCATTGTTACAACCTTCAAAAACATACTGCCTACCTGTCCTTATTCTTCTGAAAATCGTTGTTTCATGACAAAGCCCCAGTCCTACAAAAGCTCCTGATACATAATTCATGTAAGTACAGGATTCTGTGCTTTTTTTTCCACTTGCAGGTCTTCCTGGAGTCCTTCCTGGAGTACGGGGAGATCCCTTTATCAGGTGCAAAGCAAAGCTTTGTTTTTCCCTCTCCTCCTCGACAAAAAGCCGTCACTAGGTGCCACTGTTCAGAGCAGCGTTACAGTCCGAACGTGTACAGGACCCCATTGTACTGCCATATTCCTGTCCGCTTTCCCCTGAGTGACAAACTGCTCCCGCCTTCATCTCCACACGCGTGTAGTATCAACAGCTGATTTGTTGACCCTTGCATTTTCTTTAAATGTGTCTCGGTAGAACTGAAGCAAGGCGCACAATTTTTCTGGGAGAAATAATAGACGGGTGACTTAAGGGAGAAATCCACCCACTCCTTTACCCTGTACAAATATTTCTGTAGCTGCTGGCGAGTTCACGTGCGCTAATGAACTGAGAGCAGCTTGCCAGGACGGGAGCCCGATCCTGAAATCCTCGGCAAACCAGGGCTTCCCACAGGGCACGTGTCTGGGTGCGCGATGGGGATGGCAAAGACGGAGCTGCCGGTTGACGGCCGTGCTTGCTGGCTCCGTGTCGTCCTTCCACCCTCCTCTGTGCCCCATCCTCGCTTACCCGCAGCACTGTGCACTCCCCGGGGAAGCAGTTTTGAGTGTGGTCAAAGTGAAGTGAAATCCTGGCCTCAAATCACTGCAGACATCTCGGTGATCCTTGTCTTTCATGAAAAGCCAGCAGGATGCCTTATCTGCACTGCCCCACGCAAGTCTGATCCATCCTGCATGCTGTGTTCTCCACTGCTGCAGAAGGGGCCTTATAGGCACAGGAATTTTTATTGCATTTATTTTCCCTGTGTCCTTTTCATATACCCACATTATTTTGTACACAGCATGGAAAAACAAATAGGTTCCTTTAAATAATTATATTCTTCCCTCTGCTAAAGGTAGATTAGCTTTTTCTGATGGTTATTATTAAAAATCATACTAATTTACGCTGCTAATGACAGGTTTACTGGCATTCATGCAACTCTTACTGTCAATATAGTTAAAAAAATGACTGTATGTGTGTTATTTCAGAAGCCAGCCCTACAGAGTTCAGTCTGCAGCCAGTGGGTGCCATTCTGTTGCCTTCATCGGCATTTCAGCTACTCTTTAGCAGCGGTTAAACCCATGTGGTGTTGGTGATGGTCTTGTTGCTACAGAACCAGGGAGGGGGGGGATTCAGGAAATCAGAATTCAGTTCTGAGGTTCAACCCCAGTAAATTTCCTAAGTACCTTGGGGCAAAGCAATCTCTGCCCGGTCCCTGCTTGCAAATAGGAACACGGGCAATAGGGCCTCATGTCCCACGGCCTCAGCTCAGAGGACTGTGGTGGGTTGACCCTGGCCAGCATCAAGCCCCCACCAGCCCCTTTTTTTTTTTCTTTTTTCTGTTTGTTTGTTTGCTTTTGTATGCACAAAGGTACACTGATCAATTCTTCATTATTTAAATCCGTTTGATCAAGAGGCATTACCAACGGGGCAGGATGCGGCGTGCATCCTTTTTGTTGCTGGCTATTGAACAATGTGTCATGTTTGCACTTTAAAATCCCAGATAATTAGCGAAATGTACCCAGGGAAACCTTAATTTACAGAAGGTTGCTGAATAATTGTTACATTCATTTAAAATTAGCTAGATTGGAACATTTTCTGTTCTGCCTTTGCTGATACCCTCTGGAAATGGTGGGGATTTGGCTGTTTGCTGAAGACAAGCACCTCTGAGACCGGTAAAACATGACCTTTATGCTGCTGGGGCATGTCCTCTCGCCTCAACACACTGGCAGTATCTGCCCAGGAGGAGGGGAGCTGGGGATGGAATATGGGAAGTTTTTGATCGTATAATTGACTTCTTTCTCCTCCCCTCCCCCTGTGTGCTGAAACACCTGTAAAAGACTCTTACCTTCTGCTAAAAATAAATAAGAGGAACAGTCTCTAACACCCAATTATCTCAGACTGGGAGAAACAGTTGTGATTAAGGTTTTAAGGCAGCCTTCAAACAGGTGTCTGAAAATATGTCCAAACTGCAAGAGTCGGCAGATGTAGGGTAGAAGGGAATGCGGATAGCAGTCATTGACTTGAGAGGTGCATGGGATAATAAAAGAGGTGTTAGCAGATGGGAGATGAAAAAGAGGGATGTGGGAAGAGCAAAGCCTGTGAAGTAGCTGTTGATGGAAGAGGAAAAGTGGGAAACTGCTTGAATGGAGATGTTTGGAGGAGTGGTCCAAGGCCACCAGCTTTTGAGCGGGAGAACTGGCATGGCTGGCTGCGAGAGTGGGTTTGCCTTCTCTTGGGGAGGGAGAGCAGGAAACAGGGTGGCTGAAAAGCTGTTTTATGGAGAAAACTCAGAGTTTTCCAAATGCGTTTTTGTTTTACTCTAGAGCAAAACCAAAACCTTTCTTGCAGCCTCTGTGCCGTGCTGTCGTAGAGGCAGCCCTGCACCATGCTGCCCTGGCTGCACCGGGGCCAGGCCGGGCTCTGTCCTGGGACAGAGTGCTGTGCTCTGCCTGCTGGAGCCAGGTCTTGTGGCGAAGCCCTGGGGCTTGAGCTGCTCAGTGTAATTAATATGCATTCGATCAGGGAAAGGCTGACGATGTCTCAGTGGTAAAGGTGTTCATCTGACGGGCAATAAACCTACCCTGAGGAGAGCTGGGGGCTCTAAACCTCGACCTCGTCCCTTACTGCCATTCCTGCCTGCAGCAACCCCCCATGGACAGCCTGCCAAGGCAGAATGGTTTATTTTTGTCAAAAATGTCTCAGGCAGCCCTTGCTGTGCTGCAGCAGAAGTGTCTTTGGTGCGTCCACGCTGTGTGCCGAGATCTGAACCCAAACCGGGTATTTCCTTAGCTGCTCTGCATGTTGTTCAACTCCAGAGCACGCCAGGAGCTGGAGCGGAGGGGCTGAGATGGCTGTCCCCAGCCTGGGTCTGCCAGGCTCACCCCCGAGCATCCCCGAGCAGTCCATCACAGGGATGGTGGCTGCTGGTGCTGCTGTTTCCCTGCAGGGATGTGCACTGATCATGGCCAAAGCCATGGGCTCAGGCTCGGTGAGAAATACACGCTGCAGACATAGTCTCAAGAGATAACAACATACCCTTCTGCATGCCCACTTTTTAACAGTCCTTTCCACAAAGTGCCCTGAAACCCTGAGTTCTGTCTGAATCCATGAGACAAGAACTAATTTATTATCCCCCCCCCCCGAAATCCCACTGCTGTCTCAGTGCCAGTTTGCTCTGTTTTAAGCCTTCTCCAAATGACTCTCAGCTTCTCAGAGGCTGAGCAGGCGGACAGACAAAATCAGCGCCCCTCTCGATGCTTGTTGTGGCCTGACATACCTAATAGATTCCTGGCTGCTAGAGGCAACCAGAGCAGCTCAAGTGCCTTTTTATGACACTTGCTTTTCTTGTGAAGGAAGTGACATCTGACCCTTTCTCAGTAACAAAAACCCCTCCAGAACTCAAGGGATTCGCTGAAATTGCCAACCCGCTTTTGTCGAGCGCCGAAATGCTCGGGGGGTGGAAGCCAGGTAGCGGTGCGGCCGCTGTCC